CTGGACGCGGCGGGGATAGCTTGTTTTCCCTCTGTTTGCCATGTGACGGGAACTGTGAACACCCAGGTGGCCAGCTGTATGCTGTACTTATTTATGAACTCTAAATATTTCAGTATAAACTCCAGTACTGCAGCAGATCCAGGAGATAAGAGTCACACAGCAGAATCAAGAACAAGAAAAAAGCTAAAATGCAGCATTTGCCCCCAAACAACTGTCCCCAAGCTGGGCCCTCTGTTTGCCATGTGACGGGAACTGTGAACACCCAGGTGGCCAGCTGTATGCTGTACTTATTTATGAACTCTAAATATTTCAGTATAAACTCCAGTACTGCAGCAGATCCAGGAGATAAGAGTCACACAGCAGAATCAAGAACAAGAAAAAAGCTAAAATGCAGCATTTGCCCCCAAACAACTGTCCCCAAGCTGGGATACTTGCCTTCCTGGGAGCCACAGTGAGGGGTTGGAGTGATGAACGTGTTTATTTTTTGCACCAGGATATAGGCACTGAAACAAATAGAAACAAACCAGCCATTGGATTATTTTCCCATTAGGATGTTGTCTTAGTGCAGTTACATGGTGCAGGCAGGACCTCCTGGCGAGGGCACATGTTGAGCCGGCGACCAGACTGCTCCGTCAATTAGCAAATTGTGCTGGCAGAGTCCCTTAATTAGCAACTTCAAGAAATCTCCCTTGGAGCTGATGTTGTACAGCTGCTCTGCCCCTGGCTGGAGCTCACTGGGAGGTTTATAAATCACATCTGGTGTCTCTGAAGTGGAAAAAGAGTTTCTGCTCTGATATCTCTTCCTCTGGTACCCCAGCTCTTGTACTTTCCCAGCTAGCTCATCATGCCTCTCCATCTTCATTTTAATTAAATCTTTTCTTGCCCCATTGCTCTGATCATGAACCTGCAGGAGTTGGTGTTTCCCAGGAGTCCTGGGAAAGTCACGTCCCTTCAGCTGCAAATGCTGATGGTGCTGATCTGCTCCGTGCGATGCCCATGCAACCGAAATCAGGTGTATCAGTAGCTCTTCAAGTACATGCTCATCACTGAGGCCATAGCCACGTGTTTAATTAACACAGTACTGGTCCCAGGCACCAGATTTTGTTGCCTTAAAGATTGCAGAGCTCCATGCCTGGGATGGGGTGGGATCCTCTGCTCGTGAGCTGCACAGGCTCTGGAGGCAATGCCAGCCTCGGGGGCAGACAGAGAGAGAGCTGATCTGGGTCCTCGAGGGCTGTAGGTCTGATAAAAGCAGCTACTTTCTTGTTTTCCACTCTTTTTTCCTGAGGGGTGAGGCATTTTCTATGGTGAGCACATCACTACTTGGCCCATACCTGGAGAGTAGCTGCATCACATGGGTAACAGCCAGGTAGTCCTCAGAAAGTACTAGAAATACTGATTTTTTGGTGATGGGGAAGGGAAAAAAAGGGGGCTTCGTTTCTTTAGTGCTTAAAGACTGTTCTGCCACCTCCTACAGCATCTATTACCTGAGCAAGTATTTCACTGCACATTTATCATTACAGCAGCTTATTCATTAAGCACAGGGAGTTTTTCCACTTCTTCCCTTAGTTTAATCCTTACAGTCATGTGTCAGAGACTTTATTTACTTTCTCCTCCAACTATGCCTTAAAAATAGAAATATAAATAAAATAATTTCCTGTGGTAGCATAAGAGTGTTCTCTTTTTTTAATTATTTTTAAGAGGTTCCCTCTGCCTGTCCCTGGGTGCCGCATGGTTCAGCCCTGACTGCCCCTGGGGTTCTGCTGGCTTTCTCCTGCTTCCCTGTGGTTTGCGTTTATTAAAACTGCATGTGGTTTTTTTGGTTTTAATTGTGACTAGGAGACCAGTTTTGAGCTCGGGTTGGAGTTGGCCAGTGGCCCGCGGAGGGGTGGGGTAATGTTTCTGCAAGGGGAGATTTTGCAGCGCAGGTGAAGAGGGGGAATCAGAGAGACCTGCACCAAACTCCCTCTAAGGAATGTGTTGGAATTGAAGCTGAAAACACCTTTTCTCCCTCTGCCTCCAAGAACTCACTTGCTCACATATATCTAATTTTTGTGCTATGAGGGATGCAATACAGCGGCTATAATTATGAATTTAATACCTTTTTTTTTTTTTCTGCTTTATGGAATTGCATTTAAAAATACTGTGTTGGGTCTTTTCAGAGTGCAGCTACTGTTTCTCCATCACCTTTGCAGTTAGTCCATATTTGGACTTAATATTTCATAGTATTTTTCCCGAGAGAGGCTGTTACATTTCTTGTCTCAGCAGCACTACTGGATGATGGGCAGGAAGCTGCAGTCGTACCGAATATCTCATTTGTGCGTAGCCGAAGAGACCTCTTGAATCCCTTGAGTTGTGGCAAGCAGAGAGAGACGTTTCGGGGAATGAAGAGTAGAGCGTAGATCTGGGATAAGAGGAATGCGAAGAGGCGGTTGAGTAACTGGTGTTTCCCATCAGGCAGATGACACCGTCGCAGAGAAAATCAGGTTTTGAGATGAAGCACCGCATAATGCCGATTCATTCGTTGCTTTGCAGGTTTGAAACTTTTGAAGTGAACAGCTTTGAACAGTTTTGTATCAACTATGCCAACGAAAAGCTCCAGCAGCAGTTCAATTGGGTAAGGTCAGCTTGGAAATGTTCCATAAAACTTTGCAGAAAATGGATCAAGGTGGGATTATTTTATGTCTGGCTTCTGCTTCATGGCATCTACCTGTGGCCTGGCCAGATTGCGTGGCCAGCATGGATGTCGTCCCTGGCATACCGTCTCTCCCAGGCAATGATTGAGCATTGTAATTGCACTAAATGGTCATTTGAAGTTGAAAATGTTGCGTGGTTGATCTATAGGCTTGATACTGGAAGCAGATTTGCAGATGGCTTATGCGAAGGTTTGCTGATGGTTTTGAATAAGTAGATAGTTTGCCTTTTTTCTTTTTTTTTTTTTTTTTGAGTAGTTTCAATCCTAAATTGAGCTAAACTTGGATGGTCTTGGGCGGAGTCCTGATTTCCAGTGTGTGACAAAATGTGGGTGGAAACCTGCCTATTAAGTGTGGCTTAAACCTCTGCAACTAAAACTCTGTGTTAAATAACAGTATTGGACACACTCACTCACCATTTTGCACTTGGATATGCCTCAATACCTGGAATTCTTCTATTTTATTAGATGCAAGTGCTTGCCGGCTCTGAAAACCAAGTCAGTACGGAGTTGTCTTCTTTTGCTGCAAACAGGGAAAAATTACCATTAGTTAGGGTACAAGGGAAAAAACCTTGTTAAATTTGGACAGCTAAGTACGGTGGAGTAGTTTGACACTTTGAAACTGTATCGTATGCGTGGACACGAACACGTGCCGTATATCTGATGCATCAGATGACTGCTGCTAAAGATGAAAAGTAAATTATGGATTGCATTTGCACTATTCATATCTTACTTAGTATGTCCAACTATCATTACTGAAGCTTATAAATTCAAACTCTTGAGATGGCATGTTTGAAGAGATTTTAAAAAGCTATCTTTGAAGAAAAAAGTGCGTTTGAAAAATCACTTTTTAATATCCTTAGAGTATCTCAGAAATAGCCAGAGACAATTTATCTCCTTGGGCAGAGGTCTGAGCGATATAAGCCATGCAAAGACTTTTTTTTCTTTTTTTTTTAAATTTTATTTTTAAATAACAATCTGCAATAGAAGTGTTCCTGAGTCACTGAGATCCTGCTGCTGATATCCCTTCTAGGACGATGGGTCCTCTGTGTGAAGCTCTGCTCACAGATGGGGTCACACGTGCTCAGCCCTGGCTTGGCTCCCAGCTTGTGGACCTGCTGCAGGTCACTAGTTTAATCAGCAGAGCACTCAAGGAGAGAGGGATTTTTCTCAGCCCAAGAGATATGTATGTCACTGCCATTTCAATATATGGCTCCCACCTAAATGTAGTGACAGCTTCGGTAATTTTCTAGTGCAAGTCATTTAAAGCCATTTTTTTAACCCTGCCCCATCCATGGTTTCCTAGTGTAATGCTTTTACTTTCTTTGCCAGAAGCTAGATTATGTAAGTGGCAGAGCCTGTACAAAGCTGCACATGAGGGCATCTAAAGCTTCTATGTCTCCTGGATATGTTGAGGGAACGCTCCAATGGGTGGACAGGATAGAGGCTGGTGCTGTGCTGGCTGGGTTTGCCATCAGTAACTCTGCTGTTTTTCCAATCTCAGTATGTGTTTAAGCTGGAACAAGAAGAGTACATGAAGGAGGGCATCCCTTGGACTCTCATAGACTTCTATGATAACCAGCCGTGCATTGACCTTATAGAAGCAAAACTTGGAATCTTGGACCTACTGAATGAAGAGTGCAAGGTAAAATGGGCCAACCACCTTTTTACTGGCATTTTTGTAAAAGGTTAAAGAACGGGCTTTAACCTGTGGCAGCTTGCAAGAGGGTAAACATCTCCTTTCACATGTGTTGCTGGGGTGCTTGTGGCTGGGGTAAGCTGTTGGCATTTGCTTTGCTTTAGGACCATCCGGAACCTCCTTGGCAGGTGCTTGTTACCAACTTGGGTACGTGCTCTCACCCTGTATTGCCAGAGCTCATGTTTCTGGCCTGGCTGCACAGAGGGATAGTCATAGCTTGTGACTTTTGATTCCTTCAGTGTTATCCAGGAGGTAGAGTTCTTCCCTGTCTCAAGCCTTATTTGTCCCAAGGGAAAGCCGAGTCCTCTTTGCAATAGTTTCTCTGGGGTAAAGTCGATTGCATTTAGTGTACAGACTTCAGATGCTGGAATTTGTGCTTCAGTGGCACATGGCATAAAATTAAAAAAAGGGGTCTGGGAGGGTCTCCTGTTTGGTTAACCTTGCAGCATCAAGGCACATCAGCCACAGAACAAGGTTTTGCTGAAGTTGATGCCAAGCTCTGGCTGCCTTCAGGCAGGCCTGGATGTTACACAAGTTTTGTAGAAGATTGATATTGCGTATCCTTTCTGCTCCTTTGAGGGGGAGAAGCAGGAGCCCTGGGATGACCTGTAAAAGTGTCTTCAGTTGTGTGGGCTTCTAGTCATTCCTTTAGCATACTTCTGTTGGGTTTTGGAATTGTCTTCCCTCAGCTTTTCTGAGTTTTAGGGTTGTGTTGGTTGGTCTGATTGGTTGGTTGTGGGTGTGGGTTTTGGTTTTTTTTTCCTAAAAAAACCAAGCTTGCAATGTGGGAGAGTAGTTTGCTATCTTTTGTCATCTGTCTCTCATAACAGCCTAAATTGTCTTGCTTCAATGTTGAGTGGAAATGCCAGAATGGCAGCCCTTCAAGAGAATCCCTAAAAATGTTGGACTCCTTATTGACTCCTTGTTTAGTCATGATTACCAAATATATCTAGAACAAGAAATGCAAGATGGGAGACTTTCTTGGGAAGTTGGAATGCCTGTTTTGAAGGTCTTTGGTATGAAGAGTAGGTGGCAAGTCCAGAGTCTTTAGGTATGGTCATCTCTCAATGGGGGGGTTCAGTGTGATGCTGTGTTGAAAAGTGCTCCTGTGCTGTGCAGAGCGGCTCGCACCTCCTTCTGGTTCTGGTGTCGGCACAGCAGATGATGATGAAATACTGGAGAGAGTGTTACCAGATCAGGGCTATAAAATGTTGTGATACTGAGGATAAAGAAACTTAAGCACTACGTGTGAATGCTTGTGATGGTCAGTGGGAGGTTTTCAGATCCTTTGACATAAAACACCCCATATCATGCAATAGCTAGAAGCTGAAGTTGGACAGCTGATACCATGAAATAAGCCTTTTTAATGCTGAGAACAGCCTATTGAAAGGGCATGATGACTGCCGTCTTGCTGGGTGTGGCTACCTTGTGGAGCCTCAGAGGGATTGTGCTATGGTGTGAGCAGCAAGTTGTCTTTGGGAGGATATTCCCTTGAATCTTAGATCGTCCATGCCAGGAATGTCTTGATGATTGTGGAAGAGCTTTGAGGGAGTTTGAGCAAGTACAGGGAAGGGTGAGGCAAGGGGTGGCAAGAGAGCTAAAGCAGGGAAGGGACCCCTTACCAAGATAGCCAAGGTGATGAGGAGGCAACAAATTCTTCTTGGCTCTGGGGGATCTGTGGGAATGGCTCAAATTCAGCAGCCTGAGGACAGGAATGTCATGTTGCATCAGAGGGAATCAGCGTGATGGATCCCTACGAAGAAGTCAGACAAAAATGCCAGGAGGCCTGCGTGGATGAACAAGCAGCTCCTGGAGAAACTGAGGAACAAAAAAAGAAGCCTACAGTGGGTGAAGCAGGGACAGGGAGCTTGGGAGGAATGCAGAGAAATGGGAATTGAAAGCAGAGCTGACGAGTAGGACTTGGGGGTACTGGGGG